ATGTTTTCCATTCTAAACTTGATTATATTCTCTGAAAATAGGTTTAATTTCCATAGGATAAAAACAGGTTAATTTAAAAATCTAATGATTTCTTCATGTTTTTTTTTTGACATTTTGATGTTTTAATGGTTTAATGATTTTATGTGTCATGCACTCTTCTCAAAAATTCAATATTTCTATGAATATAATAAGTTACCATTCCAGGGTTTTAGAGTTAAACTAGTATCTCAACTGTAACCTATTTATCTTGTGTTGCAGAGATCAAATAAAACTATCTCCCTGGGTTAATTTGCTCTCGGCAGCACAAGATAAGTAAAAAGTAGTTCTGCTAACTTTTTCTTATTCTTTCTTTATTTTAAGAAAACAAGCTCAAGATCTACAGGGTTACCCAAGAAGGATAGGACTGTAAAGACGATATGAAACATACAAAATATGACGATTTCTAGGTTAGATTATGATTTTTGATTTTAGGCACAATTTTAAACAAATCTGGGATTTTGACAACTTTTCATCAAATTTTGAAAATTCAGAAAAAATACCAACATTTTTTTTTTGCCGCTTCGCGCAACTTATCATTTGAAAAAACATTACACTTAAGGGTACAGAAAACTGACGACCAAGAAATTGCGTCTGTGCATATTGTGAGGATTATATCGGCCTAACAGGAATTATGTAGGCTATAAGAGAAGTAAAGGGGATAGCCCCTCTCTACCGGAAATCAAGGGTAGGAGGACTAAAGGAAGACTACATAAGATACGGGTTATGAACAATGAACAAACCAACCATTAAGAGAAGTAAAGGGGTATATAGCCCCTCTCTCCCGGAAATCAAGGGTAGGAGGACTTAAGGAAGACTACATAAGATACGGGTTATGAACAATGAACAAACCAACCATTAAGAGAAGTAAAGGGGTATATAGCCCCTCTCTACCGGAAATCAAGGGTAGGGGGACTACAGAAAGACTACATAAGATACGGGTTATGAACAATGAACAAATAAACCATTAAGGGACTATATATAGTGAACAAAAGGACTAGTGGATAAATAACAATAAATTGCTGTAGACTATAATAGTGAACTATATACATATACTGAATATGACTAAGCCAGGGACTAACTAGGGACTATATAGTGAACAAAAGGACTAGTGGATAAATAACAATAAATTGCTGTAGACTATAATAGTGGACTATATACATATACTGAATATGATGAAACCAGGGACTAACTGACATTAAGAAACATATAAAAAGATATACCATTAAAATGAGAAAATCAGACACTAGACCTTAGAAGAACAGAATTTTTCTTTTGCGCTTCGAGCACACATTCAACGAATTAACATATATCATTCATTTTACAGATGTGGGAAGCTTATACATTTTTTAAATACACAGGAACAAGCTATATGTCGGATATTTGCATTGAACACTGAGCCATACACATGAAACAACTGAAAAAATTCCGTTTTTTCGACTTCAAATCTTTTAAAACATTTTCTACAGCCTTGAAAATTAAAATTTTGCCCCCCCCCCTTGACAAAAGTGCTAGTTGCGCCACTGCCTTAACCTATACCTCTTAAGTCTCATAAAAATATACACTTGGACTATTTCAAATCTGTATGTATCCCTTTTTTCCTTTTCTGAACTGTTTTTAGGTTTAAGTTTAATCACTGTTTCTAAAATTCTAGAATTCTAAATTTTGCCAACACTAAATTTACTAAATTGGCTCCTTTTGTTATGTAGTGCGATAAACAGAATTATATTTTCTAAAAGCTTTTATATTGTTTTTAATTGTTTTAAGAACCATATTTAAAAAGAGTAAGGATGGATAAGAACCATATTTAAAAAGAGTAAGGATGGATAAGAACCAGGTTTAAAAAGAGTAAGGATGGATAAGAACCAGGTTTAAAAGAGTAAGGATGGATATGAACCAGGTTTAAAAAGAGTAAGGATGGATAAGAACCAGGTTTAAAAAGAGTAAGGATGGATAAGAACCAGGTTTAAAAAGAGTAAGGATGGATAAGAACCAGGTTTAAAAAGAGTAAGAATGGATAAGAACCAGGTTTAAAAAGAGTATGGATGGATAAGAACCAGGTTTAAAAAGAGTAAGGATGGATGAGAAACAGGTTTAAAAAGAGTAAGGATAGACATGAACCAGGTTTAAAAAGAGTAAGGATGGATAAGAAACAGGTTTAAAAAGAGTAAGGATGGATAAGAACCAGGTTTAAAAAGAGTAAGGTTGGATAAGAACCATATTTAAAAAGAGTAATGATGAATAAGAAACAGGTTTAAAAAGAGTAAGGATGGATAAGAACCAGATTTAAAAAGAGTAAAGATAGAGAAGAACTAGGTTTATAAAGAGTAAGAATGGATATGAACTAGGTTTAAAAAGAGTAAGGATGGAAAAGAACTAGGTTTAAAAAGAGTAAGGATATATAAGAAACAGATTATATAAAGAGTAAGGATGGATAAGAACCAGGTTTAAAAAGAGTATGGATGGATAAGAACCAGGTTTAAAAGAGTGAGGATGGATAAGAAACAGGTTTAAAAGAGTAAGGATGGATAAAAAAAAAGGTTTAAAAGAGTAAGGATGGATAAGAACCAGGTTTAAAAAGAGTATGGATGGATAAAAACCAGGTTTACAAAGAGTAAGGATGGATAAAAACCAGGTTTAAAACGAGCAAGGATGGATAAGAACCAACTTTTAAAAAGAGTAAGGATGGATAAGAACCAGATTTAAAAAGAGTAAGGATGGATAAGAACCAAATTTAAAAGAGTAAGAATGGATAAGAACCAGGTTTAAAAAGAGTAAGGAGAGATAAGAACCAGGTTTAATAAGAGTAAGGATAGATAAGAACCAGGTTTAAAAAGAGTAAGGATAGATAAGAACCAGGTTTAAAAAGAGTAAGGATAGATAAGAACCAGGTTTATAAAGAGTAAGGATGGATAAGAACCAGGTTTAAGAAGAGTAAGGATGGATAAGAACCAGGTTTAATAAGAGTAAGGATGGATAAGAACCAGGTTTAAAAAGAGTAAGGATGGAAAAGAAACAGGTTTAATAAGAGTAAGGGTGGATCAGAACCAGATTTTTAAAAGAGAAAGGATGGATAGAACCGGGTTTTAAAGTGTAAGGATGGATAGACCAGAGCTGAAAACTTTAGAATGATGGACATCAAGATTAATTTTTAAACTTCTGTTTTTACTAAACCCGAGATTATTCTAATATACATTCGATATCCAAGAAAGAAGTATAAAATTCAACCAATATTTGCTTTAATGCTCTAAAAGCCGGCTTTTGAACAGCTGACTTTAATTCAATCTGATATTAGTTCAATCAATATAGCATTGTATCTGTAATTGTTATCAAACATAATTTTTTATACTGTAGGGATATCCAAAAAAGAGGATTCAGAATAAAATCAAAAGTGTGTACATTAGATACTCATTTTAAACGATCAGGATTAAGGATATCTCATTCTAAAGTTTTCAGCTCAGGTTTATAAAGAGTGGGGATGGATAAGAACAAGCTAAACCACAACTGAACTTTTTTTATCCTCTTCTCAGCATTTAAATCTCCAGGTTCAGATTAGACCTGCTAAATATCTCCAGGTTCATATTAGAACTTCTGAATATCTCCAGGTTNAAACCTGCTGAATATTTCCAGGTACAGATTTGAAAAACAGAATATCTCATCTCCAGGTTCAGGTTGGAACTACTGAATACTCTTCTCAGCATTTAAATCTCCGCGTCTATATTAAAACTAATGAATATCTCCAGGTTAGGTAAGAACTACTGAATATCCCAGGTTAAAATTAGATCTGCTGAATATTACAAGGTTCAGATTAGAACTACTAAATATCTCCAGGTTTACATTACATATACTGAGTATCTTCATGGTCAGATTTGAAATGCGGAATATCTTTGGGTTTAGATTAGACCTGTTATATGTCTTAAGGTTCAGATTAAAACTGCAGAAAAGCTCCAGGTTCAGATTAGAACTGCTGAATATCTCCAGGTTCAGATTAGAACTCCTAAATATCTCCAGTTTCCGGTTAGAATTGCTGAATATCTCCAGATTCAGATAATGCCAACAAAATATCTCCGGGCTATGATCAGACCTGCTGAATGGTAAATGAATTTCAAGATATCTCTTGTTCTCTTGTTCCTCCCGTCCCATCCTTATCCTACGTATCCGTTGATTTATTAGAATATACTAAACAGGTTCAGATTTACAGCAAGATTTTTGGAATAATACTTTACCTTTTTTATGTAAAAAGTTTGATTATAGATAAAACGAAAAATAAAAAATAATGATAAGTTACACATTAAAACAAATCCTCCAAGACGTAAAAATAAATAAAATCTGTTGTTTATGTGTTTATTAGGAATATCACAATTTTTATTAAAAAAGAAGAAAATAAACAAACCCAACAAACTCAAAAATGGAAAATCAATAAATATACAAATTCTGAAGAACTATGGTATTTAGTTAGAGATACAAGGGTTACAAAAGAACATACATGAAAGGATTGAATAAATACGAAAAAACTAAAATACGCAATTGTTGAAGAAACAACAATTCAACTATACCAGTTAGCATAAAACCTTTATTATTCTAGGAAAAAAAATACATTACACTTCTGTTGAAAAAACATCTATTCAAGAATGATTAATTTACATATTGAAAAACAAGTTAAAATGGTTTCCACAAGATAACCTTTTAGATAAAAAACCTTTCTTTAATATCCGTCTGAAGACACATTTAATCTAGAAATAAAGAAATGAACTTTTATAGTTTCTAGGTAGATAAATACTAAAGGGTATTCTGTGTAGTATGGTGTCCACTTCAGTTCCTTATTATCTGTATGAGATGAGATGATTAAAGTTATTTGAATTGAACAGAAGGATATTTAGTAGAGAGAAAGCTTTTAACTGCAGTAGATATATTGGTCATGCCTACATGCACAGTCTTCAATTAGTATTGAACGGAAGGATATTTTAATAATATTTGAATTGAACAGAAGGATATTCAGTAACTTCAGTAGATAAATTCCAGCACAGGGATACATTCACAGTCTTCAATCTGATATCTGAGATACTCAGTATCTCCAGGAGACCTGAATCATTCAGTTCTCTACACGATATCAGGTTCAGTATCTCCAGCATAGGGAAAGATACTACTCCCTTGAATCCCTGCCCTGTTATAGAAGTAAAGGATACGTCTAGTACTCTCAGTTTATTGCCAGACAATCTTAAAATCTCCTTCAGTCCTCCATCTGTCAGATTATCACACCAAAACAGCTTCAGTATCTCTAGGTTTGGAAGAGAGTTTACTCCTTCCTCTACTCCAACCCCCGTAATGTTAGAATAAGATAAATCTAATTCTCTGAGATTACTCCTGGATCTCTTCAATATCTCAAGAAGTCCTTGATTTGATAAAGAACACCAACTAGTTAGTACCAGCTTCTCTAAGTCAGGAAGAGTGCTAAGGAGACAACTGAATAAATCTCCTGAAGACTCTATAAATGAGACTCTACGAATAATAATAGATCTTAGATTAAGATTGGAGAATATAGTCAATACGATATCCTCCTCATCCTCTCTACTCCTCTCACCCCACAACTCTATACTGACAGTTTCTAGTTCCTCGTGTTTCTCCACCAAGTATTTGATCACTGGACCACAACCAGGAGGACTAAGATCAGAGATTTCCAATTCTAAAAAGAAAACCTATTAAACATTCTATCAAGTATTACATTCTTTAACAAAATAAAAATTGAGCCAAATATTTTTAACCTGAAATAATAATGACCAAAACCACAGAATGAAAATTTTTGAGATTTCAAACTCCGAAATCAAATAATATTTTACATTTAATTTAAAATTATTTAATTTTATAGGAATTTGATAAAATATCCACATTTATTATCGATATTGTTTTCCTCTATCAAAAATATCATATTTTACATCAACAATATATCTCAGCAAAAACTTAGATTTTACCCTTATATACATTAGCAACATTTTATGAATCTAATTCTAACATAAAAATTACAGATTGTGAAAAATCCATTTTCAGAGGTTGAGATGAAGAAATAAAATGTGTAACTAAGTATTTGGGAAAAGAACTGAGTTCTTGCATCAAACTGAAAACCTGAGTTTCAGTTTAATCTTGTGCAAATAAAAAAAGTACAGTGATGCTTGCTTTTTATAGTGACATGTACAAATTTTAAAAAATCTAGCATTTTATTTTTGTTTAAATACAGGATTTCTGACAGTTATAATTTTAGAAAAGAATTGAATTGGTATAATTCGTCAAGCTTAATGAAATGTTGGAAATAGATTAATACAATAAAATTTGATCTGGACAATGGAGGAGTTTCTTAAACCTTTATCTTAACAATTTTGCCCGGTTTAAAACCTGCGTCCTCTGTAATGCATACCTTTATTTTAATGCTTATTACCTTGAATGATATTAATATCTGCTATTGTTATCAGATTGTTCTTATCTACTCTTTCTCTTATCCTCCAAACCTTGAAGATACTCTCCAGCTCAGTTATCTGCCTCAGCAAGGTTGAACTCGTAGCTCTTAGTGAGATCTTATCCCAAAGATAATATATATATATAGATATGCAGGCAGGTATAAATTTTGAGGTCTTGAGAAAAGGTGCAAACAGCACCATCTCTGTCGTACGCATGGCATTTTATCCTCTGGATTGTTACTAATTTATCACTTTGTTTATGCGTGATAACACTAAATGCGTACTATAGTATCAACAATGTATACTGCATATTGTACTTAATGAAACAAATTAATCAATGCAAATAAA